TTAAATTATTAATAAAAAACTATACAGGCTTTTGGATGTGTTGTCCGCGATAATGCAGTGCGAGCTCTTTCTGAGTGACGGCGTAAAACTCACAAATGTTGCGCACAATTCTTGAAGTACACGCTCCTTGGTTCTCTTCCTTCTACACGTGTTCCTGTAGCTTCTTTTTCGAGCCATATGCTGCATCGCATTCACCGCACCGGTGTTTCTTCTGGTCGCTCCCATCGCTCGGATTTTCTTTTACAGGAACTGAGATTCCATGGGCTGACAATTGGTGTTTTCAATAGTTGCCACTGTATGGAGTCGTGTATTGGCAATTCAGTACATCGCAGGAGAGAATAGTTCTAGCTTTATGTTCTAGCTGAACAGTTTTTTGATTTCACAACGGCTAGGCGTTTTACAAAAGCTGGTATTGGAAACCAAGGTCAGGAGGAACTTATAGCCGAAACTACGAAAAGAGATTCTTCAGCAAACTATCTTTCTTCTCGCAATTGCTGACAAACATATGTAAATTCCGAAAACAAAATGAAGTTCCGTTGCAATACACAATACACTTGTTGGTAAATAGGCAGGAACGTGCTGGAAGTTTGCTAAAGCGCGCTCCGTACTCGCGGGCCCAGAGGGATAAAAACCGGCCCGTGGGGCAAACCGGAAAAGAGGAATCACGAAAATCAAACCGCCTCGAAAGCGGGCAGAGTCCCGCAGCGATTCCGATATGCTACGCTATAATGCGGTGCATTGTTCGGAGCACAGTTGCGTAAACCTTTTTCTTTTTCGTGCAAAAATTTCGTCGACAGCTACAGTCTTGCGCTGTACAGCTTGCAATGCGGAAATTGAGGTACTGGCCTGTTAGCGGGGGAGCTAATTTTACAAATTGCAAAATTCACCCATTTTGACCATTTTTCATACATTCTTCACCAAAAACTTCAAAGAACCACGAAAATTGGCGAAGATCTATAATTTTTAGTGCTTTTTATATCCGAACCCTTCAAAATGCTTTAAAGATGATTTCTATTTCGTTGTATGGCCCTATCGGTTTACTGGGGGAAAACAGGTTCTCCCCGTTAACATTCCAGCACCAAAATCGAACCAAATTTGGCAGTTTGGAAGGCCAGAAATCGCCCGTTTGAGTTTGCTTAACGTAAAGTGAAGGTTGATGAACAGCATTGAAGGCTAAATAGGCTGCCAGACGGGTGGGAGAGGTTGTCAAGTATTAGCGCCAGACGGCGGGCCGATTTCAAGCCTTTGCCTGTCCCGCCACCGCTCTACTCGACTATAAAATACAGGAACAAGGCCTTTGCGCTACCAAAAAAGACCTATTGGAAAGGCCGGCAAGGCGAAAATTTGCCGAATGCTAGCCCTAAAACGAAATTATCCGATCGGTATCGCTATAAACAGACTACAGCCTCGATCAGGCTTATCACATCATTTGCCCTACATTTTTTTCGAGCACTGATGAAATGGTAAAATACGGCGGCCAGAAAATTATCCGCAGGCAATCTTGTTATGTTCCAGATGTGGCCCCCTCCCTCAAATGCCATTCCGATACGCTATCCAACTCCTTTCAAATAGCTTAGTTGATCCCCGCTTAGAAAACCTTACAGTTTAGAATAATCGCTGGCACAATGCCGTGCCCATTCCTGGCTCTGCCGTTGCCGCTTCAAGTAGCTACTTATGGCCACCTGGGTTGCAGTGAGAAATTAGCAGCGAGGGCGAGCGATCGGGTAACTAACATTAATTTTGCAAGCCGGCTACAGTCGCATGGCTGCTATGATTATGGGTTCTATTGCATTATCGCGGGTGGGGGGGGATCATTTATTTTTTCTTAGGATCCTAAACTAGAAAAAATATAACTTTTTCGATAAAAAATGGCCGATTTTTGACCGAAAATTTCGTAATATAAATATTTTTTAATTTTTAGACATTTCTGGACTTTTACAAAAATCCCCCCCGAGAATGCGAAAGAGCCGGATTCTGCTTGTTTATTTACTTAATAAGCGTATTCCCTTGCGTGGACCATGAACGGATTTGCTACCAAAGAGAAAATATGACGACCTCTAGATAAAGAACGAGCTTGGTGGCCGGGAAAAAAATTGGTTCGCCAGCAAATACGTCTACGACGCCATTGTTTCCGTCAAACGCGACGTGAGTTTTTGTAAAGGATGGGAAAGGGCCGTCCGTTGAGTTAATGCCTACAATACCAGGTAAAACTGTCACTGAAATAATTCTCTGTAAGAGCCATCATAGTTGTGGCTCCATTTTATGGCCATGTCATAACCAAGTGGGATGTAGTACATACGCTTAATGGTGCCTGCGGCACCATTATCTGCCCCGCCTCCCAAGCGGGTCATCCCCTCAATCCCCAGAGTCGATCCCGAGACTCAGATTCCCCCCTTCCCCCAGACCCTGAACCCTTCCCTAAGCTCAGCTAACTCGAAGTCCCACGGACTTGTTATGAGGGGTTTATTAGAGTAACTTAAACTGTCATATAAAAACTGGGGACGGGATAGAGACCGAGAAAGGAAGTCGGCCGGCGGCGGATACAGACCCTAACAAATATGATTCTTAGGATTTATAAAGCATCAGAAAGGGGACGGAATCCCGTCGGCCCGAGGGGGCCTCTGGTCTCCCGTGGGACTTCGAGTTAGCTGAGCTTAGGGAAGGGTTCAGGGTCTGGGGGAAGGGGGGAATCTGAGTCTCGGGATCGACTCTGGGGATTGAGGGGATGACCCGCTTGGGAGGCGGGGCAGATAATGGTGCCGCAGGCACCATTAAGCGTATGTACTACAGCCACACTGCGGGGTGTACCAGTAAAAAATACCCCCTCTAACTAGACACAAGTACGAAACGATAGTTACAACATTCGCCAGCCCTTGAAACGGCGAGCTTTTTTATTGAAACGCGCGATTTATAACGAATTTGAAAACATGAAGGAACGGCTTCTGCATCTAACCAACGGCTACTTCCGGTCCTTTTGCTTGTGAAACTTGCTGCAAATTAGCCCGTATGCAACTCCGAAATTGTACAAAATGGTTTGCAAAATGGCGCGTTTGGATAAAACCATGGTTTTGAAGATTGTTGCAAACTGGCCGTTGGAGGGCTTTCGAATGGCGTAACTATCTTTCCGCTCCGATACCCCTGAATCAGGGTTCGATTTGATTGGGACGGGGCGAGACTTTTGCCTATAGTTGATCGCCAGGAGGCGGCGGATCAGGTCTTAAAGGGCTGCCGACGGCATGTGTCGATCCCCCCTCATCAACAAATTGGCACGTAGCCAACAGGGGAGAGAGCGCGCCCAGGGGAGAGGCGCAGAGACATTTTCTTTCCAGCGCGTAACCGATTGACTATGCCGTCGGCATCCCTTTAAGCTACACCAGCCGATGGACCTCGCTCTTCCGGTTCGATTGATGTGCATAAAAACCGCTTAGAACTTTTCTAGACAACCTCCAAGCTACAATTTGTGCAAATCTTAACAAAAAAAGCGGTTTTACGGGGATATTTTTCCGGAATGGACTCGAATCAGGTTTTAAGCTACACCATTCGATGCGTCTCACTCTTCCGCGTCAGATGATACCCATAAAAACCTCTTAGTACCTTGATAGACAACCTCCAGACCTCAATTTATGTAAATCTTAGCAAAAAGCTGTTTTACGGCTGTGGTTTTCCGGATAAGTATCGGATCAGACTGTAAACGACCTCAATCGATGCAGCTCACCCTCCCGAGTCGAATTATACCCATAAAACCTCCTTAGAACTTTGTTATACAACCTCCAAGGCGGTTTTTAGGCCTGGGTTTTTCTCCCAGCCCATCGAACCCTGCCCTGAATCGAGTTAGAGGGGCGTTTTTCTTGTTCGAACACCCTGTATATTCAGGAAGTACGCGTCGTATGTCGGACACGATGCGGCGAGGCAGAAATAAAATGGTCACGGCAACCTCACTGTAGCAGGGGTATCATATTTCTCCGCTATGATCCTATCCGATACCTATCCGATAAGTTCGCACCGGACACCCTGGCGCCGTCGGATGTATTATAGGTATGTACTAAACATAGCATTGAAGGTTCTTTAGCAATATCAGGGGGGGACCCCACCAAAAGTATCTTTTTGTTTTCCGCAGATTCCCCTGGTTTTAAGCTTATTGCTCAAGCTACGTTAAGCCCAAGCTTAAGCCAGAAACCAAGTAGCTTAAGCGGAGCGCCTCGTACCCCCTTACTACCTACTTCGGACTGCCCCCCCCCCCTCTAACTGCATCAGTACCAAAGAGTTATAACAAACAAAAAGATAACCTGGGAGAATCGTTGTCGGTGTTTTTCGGCATATCCGAGTTGTCAGCATAGCGTTTGACGAGTCTGTTGATTGCAGACGCAATTTTCTCGACGAGGTCAACTCCGGTCAGGTTTGCGCACTCGATGTAATGACAGGACGGCGCCGGGCGCTTTCCGCATTTAACCGAATACTTCGAGGCATCTTCCCGCGTTCGATCGGGTTATATGTGATGCCTGGAGACCGTGATTGCGTATGTTTCACGAATGAACCATTAAAAATCCGGTACTGGATTGCTAACGGGGGAGGTAAACGGGGGAACAAAATTTTGAACTTTTCAATCCCGAACGACCCTAGAACGAAGTATAATAACCCTTTCACAGCATTTTACAAAGTTTTTACGAATCAAAAGACTTATAAAAATGAAACAAATTGATTCAAAAATGACAAAAATTGCGAATTTGCAATTTTTTCTAAATTTTTACCGCCTTCAAGCAATCAAAAACTACTAAAAACACTATAAAAATACATTACATATTAGTAAAAGGTGTAAAAACAAAATTTACCCCCCCCCCCCGCTAACAATCCAGCAACAAAAAGTCTTTAGGAGCTCTCGATCCCCATCCAGGAACTTGACATCCTCAGAAACCCGTATTCAATTCTGCTCGACATGTGCCCGGAAGTCGCACAATTTCAGTTAAAATGGTTGAAGCGTCGCGGATTCTCGTCGGAGGCCCTAGTATGTGGAATTTCAAGAGGTTCCAAAAAATAGCATTCAGGAGTTATATTAAAAGAAATTACGGTATACTTAATATTCTATTCAGGCAGCCGTGCCTTCGCGACGGTGTTTGGATGGCGGACACTCGCTGATTGCGGAATTACTGGCCCTTTTTGAAGTGGTAAGAGTTGCTCGGGCCACTTCTTGTCAAAACAAAATGTTTTTGCACTGTTTTTCGTAACTTTTATCCATATTCAAAGTGGAAAAGCTTTCAAAAATTGAGAGAGTGTTTGGAAAAATCGAAAATTTGGTGATTTTGGGTCGAAAATGACCTAAAAGTTGAAATCCGCGCCAGATGAATCTTCAGATGAAATCCGCGCCGACGTTGCTGCTCCAATTAACAGGCCATCGGATCAATGATACGTTGGCTGTTATCGGGCTGTTGGCCGAATTGATGCAACAGGTGCGATAACGAAATTGATAACATTAATAATGACCATTAATGCTTCAAAACATCGCAGATTTTTCCGGTTTTAGAATTCGCCGCCTGAAAATCACCCTCGGGCGGTCTTGGTGACGTTTGGGATCGTACTGCGCAAAGAAGCCGACAGCGAGCTGCTGAAACGGGTCAGTGCAACATCAGAAGCTTCCTTTATCTTTCCCTGTAATAGTATCTAAAAGTGTCGGCTGCTTCCAGGATATCAAGGAACTCCGAGCATTCCTAAAACGCCACATCCCGAAATCATCGCCGACATTGGCCGTCCGACTGTCCTTGGTGTGGCGCTATCGTCTCAAAGTCAATATTATATGCTGTCTTACTCAAAATTGCAACATGTCAAACCCCATCCAACTTTCTCGCCATTTTCCGACTGGATTCGAGCTCGCATGGGTGGGGGTTCATCCTGGAGACTTGCTCTGACACAACTCCTCACATTCCACACATATTTGACCAATCACCCCAAATTAAAAATCTCTGGCTTTTACAGCAGAAGTCTAGTGCAATAAATTGATATGGTAGCAAGTGAATTGAAAGATCGGAGATTTTCAGATACATGAAAACTCGGCAAGCACCTAAAAACCATTCCCGGTAACACGGGAGAGCCAAGTGGCGATTGTCGCGCGCGAGTCGTGCACGAGACGCGCGCGAGACGGTACCGACTCGCGACATTCGCGCACTTCTCACGCGCGTCATTGCCACGACAGCCTCGTGCGCGTCTCGCGCACGAGTCGCGCACGAGTCGCGCACGAGACGCGCACGACGTCGATAGGTGCCAAATGGAGCTGAAACCGAATATTTCGTCATTTCGACACAGACGCAAAACAATTCGACAGACAAAATCTTGGCTTTTTTACTTTCGTTTTAGCCGTCATCTTGCGCGGTAAACTGTCTGTATTTCGTCTCGCTCTTTACTCAACTCGGCGTCGAATAAACCTTGTGTTCTGATTACCTGGTGAAATACAACACCAAACAGCAAATTACACATTACAAAAGCAAATATGCAATTTAATAGCCTGCCGAAAGCAGCCCAGCCGCGGCGCGTCTCGTGCGCGACTCGCGACCATGTCGCGCGCGTCTAGTGGTCTGTCGCGTTCATGTCGCGGTCATGTCGCGATCTGTCGCGCGCGTCTCGTGCGCGTCTCGGTACCGTCTCGTGCACGAGACGTGCGCGAAAATGGTCGCGACTCGCGCGCGACATTGGCACGATTTGTTTATCCCGTATAGTAACGAGACTCTTCTAGCAATATTTAGTCGATTGTCAGCAGAGCCCGAAGTAACGGCCGGACGTGCGCAAAACTCAAGTCTTTCTTCTTCCCGCCATCACCGTTTCCCCCATTGGAGCACCACGGGGAAAGGCTGGATGCTCAAAAAACCCTAAAACTACCTAAAATCGTTGAGCACAGGCAAATGCTTGGAATGAAAGCGCGAAATTGCGGGACCAGTTTTAGTTTCGCAGTCTGGTTTTGTTTTCTTCTTGCATGTGTCTTTTTCTTTTTTTCCGGCGACGGAGCGGTTTTCGATTTTTTGCCGGTGATTATATGCTCTTTTTCAGCCGATGCTCTCGCCCCCGCGAATATCGAGGCTATTGGCAAATTTGCGGGCCGCCAGCAGCAGCTCGCAGCCGCGAAAGGAGCCATTCGTGGAGAAGACGATCAGCAAAAGGGCCCATCAAAGACTCACTTCCATCTACGGCGCCGGATTGTCGGCCTCGGGCGCTTTGGCAATACCGAAATTGGTTGTGAACAAGAACACGGTGAGCCAATTTATCAAATAAAAAGAATAAATTATTTCTCAGAATCCACCTCAGTCGATCAAGGCGCCGAAGAGGATACCTGGGCTCAATTACACAGAAGTCGACATGATCGCTTCCGGATTTGGGTTTTCGCTGTTTGCGTCCAGGAATGAGCTGTATGGAAGCGGATTGAATAACTAGTAAGTGGCTGCTTTACTAGCAAAAGCTCATTTTTAGTTCGCAGATCACGGCCAGCAGCGACAACACGACGCAGGAATACTACATTGCTCGGAAGCGCATCGTGATCCCCAATCGCGGAGAGATTTGCTGGATTGCGGCCGGTAACTGGAAGCTTGGTGACATATTTATCATTTTCAGGTAGAGCCCATTCGTTGGTGGCCACCTCGAGCACCGTCTACGCATTCGGGCATAACGTTCACGGCCAATGCGGATTGGACCCCGATTTGATGGAGACCGTTGTAACGGTAGAACAAATTTATCCTTTATGATAATTTACCACCAGCCTAGAGAAGCCGCGCCAGCCGTAGCACTACCAGTTGAGGGCGAAATCGCAAAGGTGCACGCGGCGCTGGACACATCTTTCGTGTTATTGCGCAATGGAGAGGTGATTCTGTCCTTTTTGTGGCTATTTTTATTTAGTTGCTGTCATTCGGATTGAACGAAGACGGGCAATGCGCAAATGGGCAATACGGGATTCAACCGGAACCATTGCGGCTACAAGGTTGCTCAATTTTAACGTATTCAACTTTACGGATCTTTTCCAGGTGACGCCGCTCAGGAAAAGCTCGTCGACATCCGGGGCACCACCGACACTCTGGTGGCCATCTCCGACAAGGGCGAGCTCTTTATCTGGGGCCAAAACGAGCACGGACAGGCCGGGCCAAACTTGGATTTGCAGGTACTCTAAATTGGAATCATGATTTTGTTGGTGGTTCAGCTTGCCGCCTCCCGGCATCTACCGATGGCCAAGCGTATCGTGAGCGCGGATGCGACGTGCTGCTCCTGTGTGGCGCTCGACGAGGATGGCGCCGTGTACACGTGGGGCACGCAGTTTTTGGGTTGGTAATTTAACTTCCACGATTGTTGTCAAACAACGTCCGATTCGTCTTGTTGGTCTCATCATAATTTCTTTTTTAGGTCTCGGTCCAAAAGTGACGAAGCTCGGCCAGCCAACACTCCTCGATCAGCCGTTGTTCGGGAATGAAAAAGTATCGCGTTGATTTTCGAAAAATGTCATTTTTAGGTAAAACGAGTATTCGCTGGGAATACTTGCGTCGGCGCGCTCACCGAGACCGGGAACTTCTACATCTGGGGCCAAAATCGTTTTGGGCAACTGGCGCTCGACACGGACAAGGACCAGCTCTTCCCATTACAGGTATTCCACCTTCTCGCGCTTGAGATTAATCTTGTTTTTTGCAGGTCTACCTGCCCAGGGACGTTGTGCAAGTCGCGCTCGGGACCGACCACACCCTCTTCATCACCAAATAATTTCGTCGACTTCGGCTGCAATTTTGCATAATTTGTGCAGTTGATTTCTTCATCACGTTCGGGTATCACTTTTTCGTCGTTCCATTGATTATTGCTAGTCTGTCCAGTTGAGTATAAAGATTTGGAAAATATCTGTGATCGGAAATTTACACTGAAAAACGGCTAGTGTTTTTATGAGATTCTTTGCAGGCTTTTGACGATGCTTCGGGTTTAGCGGGGGAACCAAAAGGCTTATTCGTTATTTAGCCACGGCCGTAAATTTTTTATATAGTTATAAAAAACCTCATTAGCAGGTTTTTTAATTCACCGTTGAATACCCTGTTTTCGGCATCAATCAATTTATCCTAAGATTCCGTTGAATGGCTGTAGAATTTCTCTTATCAATAACTATGCATCAAAAAACTTTATTTACTAGCATAATAAAATTTTTAGATGGCGGGCAAGGCAGCGGTGCGTGCAGCCGGGCTAGTGGTCTACCGCCGACCCGAGGCGACGGGCGCCACCGAGTTCCTGCTTTTGCAAGCCTCCTACCCTCCCTATCACTGGACACCCCCGAAAGGTAAACTACGAGTTTTCGTAGGAATTGTGACCATTACGATTACCACTACGCGGCAAGAACGAATTTTCTATTCAGGCCACGTGGACCCCGGCGAGGATGAGTGGACGGCGGCCATCCGAGAAACTGAGGAAGAAGCACATATCAAGAAGGACCACCTCGACATCCATGAGGACATCCACCACACGCTATACTATCCGGTAACGAATAACTTTGCTGACACTTTGAATTTTTCCAGGTCAAAGGTCGAATGAAGTCCGTGAAGTACTGGCTGGCCAAGCTCAAGGACCCATTCGATGTGGCCCTCAGCCATGAGCACCAAAATTGGAAGTGGGCCAAGCTGGAGGTATGCCCTTTGTCGATTTTCAGACGATTGCTTTCTTAGGATGCTGTCAAGACGAGCGAGTACAAGGAGATGGGCGAGCTCTTCCGCCTGTTCAACGACAAGATTTCCAAATGAACTGTGATTGTTTTTTTTTCTGCATTTTGTTGTTAATAAAATTGTACGTACATTTTTGATTGTTTTCCGCTGGAGGTGAGACGACCGGGAATCCTATTCAGTGCGTAAATTAAAGGGGCTCCGAACTGCCAAATCAAAGCGCCCTTTTGGGAGGGCTCTTTGATTTCTGGCAATTGCCAGCGGGCGCTGCGGGACGAGAGCACCCACTCTTTCGATTTTTGCGCGAAGTTGTTTTTGTCCGGTTTCTTTGTGAAAACACTATAATTCAAGGATTCTGAGCTCATTTTTGAAATCCTCACTCAATTTAAAATAGTTTTGGTGTTTTAATCATTAAATTTGGCCCAGAAACAGCCGAGAACGTGATTTCGAGGTGACAACTATTTCAAATTTGCGACCTTCCCGGCCCCTGGGCGTACAGAGGCCTCCGACGTACAGGGCTCGGATTTTCGGGCCGTCACTCAATTTTTGGCAGTTCGTAGCCCCTTTAATAAGCTTTATTCGCGTGAATTCGTGCCCGGACTTCTTTTCAAGCGATTGTACAGCAGCCGCACTTCCACCACGGCTTCTTCTCCTGCTCGGTGCCGCTGCTCTCCCCGGGGTTGTCCGAGCTTTGCGGGCATTTGAATCTGAAACAATGACGTGCGCTCGATTTTGCGGGTTTCCGGGGATTGTCAGGCTTTTTTGCAACCCACGGAGGCCCCTTTTTCTTCGGCTGCACCCGGCTGGCCATCAGCGTCTCGCGATTCTTCTTGTGCCGCTCCACGACCACCTCTAGCTTTTTCAGGTCACACCTAAGCATTAGGATCACTATCCAAAAATGTTGGCCGCGCTCACTTTTCCATCCGTTTCTCGCGCGTCTCCTTGCCGACCGGCTTGGCCACCACCTGCGAGGCCGTCGGCAGTCCCATCGTGGTGTGCTCGGGTCTGCAGAAGTTGTAAGCCATGGGACACGGAAATTGAGGGCCCTACTGCGACTTGCCGCTTCGTCCGCTGCCCTTATTGGTGGGCTCGACTTTTTTGGGCGGCTCCTGGGGGATTTCCTCCCTAGAAAATAGGTGTACGTCTTGGTGACAGACGTTACCCATCTTTTGGTCGCTTGCTCTTGGTGGACGGAACGACGTCGGGTCTGAATCGAGCAGTTGCTTAAGACCTTTGCTAGCAGGGAAGCATCTATTCTTTAGGGTGAGATGCCCGGTCTACTCGACAAGTCCACCTACATCGGCTTGACCTCCGACTTGGTTGGTTTCGTCGCGATCGACCGGTTCGTCTCGCCGTCAGCCTGCGTCGGCCCCTCTTGTTCCTCGTCTTTTAGCTGTAGATGTCGCGTTTTGCAACGTTGGTTTGGGCACCTCCTTGCTGGGGTCGACGGCCGTGGTGTCGTCGAGACCATGACGGCTGATCTCGAATTGGGAGGGCTTCCTAGAGATTTATTATATTTCGGGGGATGCGCTTCTGGCAAAATGTCTGCCACCGCCTTAGTATATTTTTCCGAAGACTGACGGGACAGCAGGCGGCGGGGGCACGTTGGCGCGCATCGTCGGGTCGATGTGGACAGATTTGGGAGGTGGTTGGCGCTCGGATGTCGAATCCGGCCTGGTCACAGGGCCCGGCGAGCTGGTATCCACCATCTAATGAAGTCAAGAAGCAGTCACGGAAGTACCAGCACGTCCGGCAACGATTGCTTGTCCGGATCATCCGTCGTCGAAGATGGCTTTCGCTCGACCTCAGAAGTTTCGACCTTCTCTCGTCTGTCGTCCTTTTCCAGCGTCTTTTCCTTCTCCGACTTTTCGCTGCTTTTCTGCGGTTGCATCGACGTTAGTTCGAAACCAAGAGCCTACCTTGAGCTTTTCGTCGATTGAATTATTCTCATCACCCATCGATGTAAGTAGTAAAGAAAAGAAAATGGCAATAAGAAATGCCGAATTGGTGGGCCGCTTTTGACTTTATAGCAAGTTTCGCATGCAAAAATAGTCCTGGTGATTTTGCAAATTTAGATTATTAATGCATACTCTTCGTTATGTCGACTTGATCTCACGGCCAAACTTTTTTTTCTCACCCGGTTCGAACGCTCTTTCTCCAGTTTACTAATTTTTTGACTCCAACTTTATCCACCGAACGGGAAGTCCTTTTTTCTTTTCCAATGTGCCTCTCTGATTACAAATTCTCCCCAATAAGTGCTTTTTCAGAATGGGCAAACCGATCAAACATTTGGTGCTGGACACGAACGCCTTCATCCGTCCTGTCGAGCAGCTCCATGTGGGTTTTGGCTTTTCGATTTGCTTTATTTTGGGCTTAGAACATTGCCGAGAATTTCTACGCGCCGCCCGGCGTCTTGGCCGAGGCGAGATGTTCTCGGAGCAAGATCAAGCTCGACACGTTCCCGTTCGAGATTCGTTGGGTGGAGCCGTCGTTGGAAGCTTTTCAGAAAGGTACCGGCAGTTTTTTAGATAATAAGCGCAAAAACTTTTACTAAGTTTTATTACAAAAAAGAAGAAAAGGAAATGGATTTTACGACCAAATTTTGTTACAAATGTTTAGATTTTCAAGGGTTTAAATTTGGAAAGGACAATTTCTAAACTGTTTTTTTCACTATTCCAAACGCCAAATGGCGGCCAATCTGGATTAAACGAGGCGTCGACCATTTTTCCGACCAAAATTCTCGAGTTTCGACCCTAATTTAAAACTTTAAGCACTTTTTAAGGTTTTCTAACTAATTTTTTGCTTCAAATATGACTAAATCTGTCTTAAAAGACTATTCAAATACTTAGGACGAACTTAGTAAGCAGTTCTTTTTTTAGTTGTCGAAGAGGCGAAGCGCGTCGGCAACTACCCGGAGCTGTCGGCCGTCGATTTGAAGGTGATCGCCCTCACCTACGATCTGACCCAGCGGCACCCCACCAAGAGCAGCAACAAGGCGCTGGACGGATTGACGGTGGAGCAGGTGATTTCCAATCCGTTCACCGAAAATCATTTTTAAAGGTGGAGGCATCAATCGCGAAAATTGCGCTGGAAGAAGCTGAGGCCGGGAAACCCGAAGAGACGCCTGCCGGAGCCGATGCTGCGAAAGAAGTGACGACATCAAGCCTGCCGCCCGGCTTCGCGAAGGATGATGACTCGGAGGAGGAGGGCTGGCTTACAGCAGAGTCGCTCGATGCCGCTCTGAACAAACTGGGTGCCATTGAGGTTGTTGATTACGTTTTTTTTTTGTAAACGCCAGCTTAGTTGTGCGATGGAGCCGAAGTTGGATGTCTTACAACGGATTATGCTGTGCAGAACGTCCTTCTCCATATGCATCTCGGTGCGTTTATCCTTATTCAATTTTTGGGTGCATCGGTTTTCGCGGGCGAGCAAGCGTCAAATTTTTTTGATTTAGCTGATACCTGCCCTTAATAAAATAGCGAACCTTTGTTTCCTTTTTGGCAGTTTCCGCTCACCAAAACGATCTGGGAATTTTTAATCTCCATCAACCTCTGCGGTTTTGACCTCTATTTGGTATTTTTCCATGCATTTTTGACATAGAAGTGAATATTTTTCAAAAGTGTTGTGGTTTTGTCCAAGTTTTTCTATAACAAGAAAACTCGCGAATGGCTCGAAAAATCACCCCTGATGCTCCATCGTAAAATCTTCCTTGCTCGCCCGCAAAAAATTTGCTTTTGAAGAAATTAGCTTGCTTGAGATTTGGCTTCAACAAACTCAGCGAGTTCAAAAGTCTACTACGATTTTTGCAATTTCGTAGCCTCTAATTTCAGAGCTCATCTCTTTCGCGGGCTACCGAATCCAGCGTCTGCAGACGTACGTCCTCCGCTGCCGCGCCTGCTACGGCACCACAAGCAACATGACCAAGGAGTTTTGCCAGAAATGCGGCAACAAGTCACTACACAAGGTACTCGGCCCTTTTTGGGTTCTTTCACATTATCGCGGGGGGAGGGATCTGGAACCGATTATTTTCTACTGTTTTGCAACAAAACAAGGATTTTTGGTTGGGTAAAAAAATATGATTTCAAAATTCTCATCGAAAATCCCGACTTTCACCCTAAACCATTTTGCTAAAATTCCAAATTTTTATAGTCCTGTCTTGAAATTTAGATCAGAGCGGCTAAAATCTAAAATGCTCCTTATTTGCTTATTGTTTAATTTTCATGACTTTTTAGTGCGCCGTCACGCGCGACAAGGACGGCAAGGAGCAGCTGCATATCAACTGGAATCGTCTCACAAACCTGCGCGGGCTCAAGTACAGCATGCCGGCGCCGCGGGGTGGCAAGCACGCCATCGTCGAGAAGATTGTCGAGGTGCGTTGAAGAATTTAAGGTTAGGCGCTTTCGCGAACTCGGGTAGAGGGATGCCGAATTTTTTGCTTCTATGCCTTGTAAACAAATATGAAGTATTATGATAGTATTTTGGCTCTATTTCGCGTCCAAAATTTTTATAAAACCTTTTAAAATGCGAACTTTTGCTCTCAAATTGGCGTTTTTTCGCCGAAAAATCGCCTTTTTGATAAATTTTAAGAGGCGAATCCTATTTTTCCTTTAGTTCCATATTCCTAAATCAGTCGATAAACATTCGCTATAGAGAATCGAACCCCCCACCCTCGATATTACGAAAGTACCTAAAGTTGTCTGATTGTGGTACTTTTAGGACCAACGAATGCCCGACCAGCGTAAGCCGCGGCACTACGGACGTGTCGGCATCCGGAATGGCGCCATCGACGTCGACAACCCGTTCGACTTCGAAAACAAGCAGCCCACGACGAGGAAGCATCCCGTTAAATAATTGTCTATTATTTCTTGGCTTTATCCGATTTCTAAAATCTCGTACTGTTTCAGTATCCTTTGTTGCGGGTTCCTTTTTTTGGTTATTTCACGAGCAAATGATCGTTATTTGTGCATTTTCTGTCGCCCTGTACCGTTGTTGATCTCTTTCATTTCGTTGTTATCTCTTTTTGTTGGTCGATTAAACTTTTTAATAAAGTTTTTGAGCATGGGGCGATCCACGGTCAACACGGGCTTCCCAATCTACTTTCCAAGTTTCGAATCCACTGTCATTAGCTGTATTTCGTACAAATTTATCGCATCTTTGGAAGTGCTGGCGGGGAGGAATGAAGGGTTGGGAGGTCCGAATTTAGCTTTGAGCTGATAGGTGGCTGACAGAGATCATTGAAGATTTGGTATTATGCCTTAGGTTATGCATGTCGTCAAAAAGTGAATTAGAAAAGCCTAGAATCAAGCAGGGTTGTCATTTTGCCTCGTCCACTAGACGGCCGTGTCGCGCGTCATTCCCGGAAAGAAGTAGAGGTGCTTCCGGAGGCGCGTATGAATTTCCGAAGCCTGCTTGAAGCGTTCGCCCGTTTCGAAGGTGGCCATCTGCAAAAAAGGGCTGTATTTTTGCGGGTTCTTTCGCGTTATCGGTGGGGGGGGCGGATTCTTTCTATAAACGCAAAATTTCCCGAACGACGTAATAGCAAATACTTTAATAGAGTTTTTAGTTAAGCTTAGTTACATTTTAAGTGGAAAAACGAGCGAAAAACTTTAAAATTTCTAGTGAAAGTTTTGGGAGAAATTCGGGGATTTTGGTCGGAAAAATTCGGTATTTTTATCAAAATTTGTCGAGTTTTTACGCTTAGGAATATTTTAAATACGGTTTAGGCACGTTTCTCTGAATTTCTATTGGAAAAACGATCCTAAGAAAAAGTTGTTTCCCCCCCCCCCCCGATAATGCAAAAGACTCAGCTTTCGCAGCCTTACTTTCCTAAACGCCTCTGCTAGCTTGTCACATTTTTAAAGCAGCTTTCTGGACTCAGCTTTTTCCATTTCCCCAATTTTCTCTGCAACCTACCCTATCATTGACGCGCGTCATCAAATCCATAATGTGATCATCCTTTGCGTGCTTGGCGAAAACCTCGCAGATCGACTGCACGAACCACGAGCCTGGAAATGAAGCACATGCTCGACGAGGTCAGAAACTAAGTTTTTCGTGGAAACAAATGTTTGCTTATTTAGGAAAAGCCGACCTCGCTGCGTGTTCCTCCAGCTGACGTGCCGTGGCGGCGTCGCGTACGCGATCAAGAAGTCCGTCTCAGCGGGGAGCCGACTGCGCCGCGTCTTGAACAGGTTCGATTTGTTTAGGTGCTTTTCCATTATCAGGGAGGTTTTTATAGGTTTAGAAATGCCTAGTGACTTAATAGTAACAATTTTAATAGGATTTTGGCAAACTTTAGTGATATTTGAAATGGAAAAACTCTCAAAAAAACTTTAAGAACATTTCTAAACTTCAAATTTTTGGCGGGGCTTTGCATCTCTCACTTTATATGTATAGTTGGACCGTTTCACGTTTCTGGGCATTTCCGGCTTATACAAAAAGTAGATTTTCCCTGACCCCCGACAGTGCAAAAGCACGTAAAGCTGCACCTGTATGCGTTGCGCGGGTCCGGTGCAGTTGAACAGGTCGAGGAAGCGGGCGTCGGGCTGTAGGCTTGCGGCACCGTCGACCATATCCACGCCTCGGTCACGCCCTTCTAAATAAAAAAATGTTGTTGGGGCTGGTTTGGCTTCTGATAAGTTTATGGCAAATCTAGATAAGTTTTTTCCCCTATTTATATAAGCTGTATACTGTAAGCTTTGCTGTTAGCGGGGGGGGGGTTAGCAGGGGAAACCACTTTCTGTTTTTCCACCTATACCTGTTGATAAGGTATTTTTATGGCGTTTAGTAGTTTTTGGGTGCTAGAAAGTTATAAAAAATACTTTTAAAATGTTTGAAAATGGAAATTTCGACCTTTTTGGGTCATTTTTGATACATTTTGGACCGAGGAACCAAAATTTTCGAAAAATTTTTATTGTTTTTATCTAAAAACTATGTAAACTACAATAAAAATGGTGTATTTTTGTTATAGGGCGGTCGAGAATCACAGGGAAAAATTTGGATCCCCCCGCTAACAGTTCAGAAACGCTTGGTCGTAAAAGTGGGCTTGTAAAGCTTATAAATTGCTGATTGAAGCCAATCGACTTACCGCCTCTGCAAGCCTGGATGAAGACAAGCTTCGGCTTGCCGGCCATCGTCCGACAATGGTCCGAGTTCAACAGGGAGAGCAGCTGCAAAAAGGGGTTCATTTTTGTTACGGTGCGCTCCAAATTACGTTTTCAGGGGTGTCTATGAAAAATCTGAGCGAGGTTTTTGACTGTGATTAGCTTCGAAACTAAGCCTTGGCTTAAGCCTAGGCCTAAGCCTAAGCTACCTGATTGACGTAGACCATCTTCCCGTCGACGCCGTAGATTGCTCCCTCGTCGCCGTGGGAGAGGATGGCGAGCTGTGCGAAAAAATTGTTATATATTTATACAATTCAAATTTAAATCTAAATTTAATTCATTTAGAAGCAGAATTTTCGAATTCTTCAACCGACCACGAGTGACGAGGCGGTCAGGAGGGCTCGACAGGTCGCCAGCTCGGCTACGGTGTTGACCATGTCCTGAAAAAAAATCAATGGGCAATTGAAGAGTAAAAGTTGCTTAACGGGGGGAGGGAAGGTTAAATAACGGGGATGGAATAGCCTCAAAGGAATCGAAGCTTGGGCAATTTGAAGCTCGATGAGGAGAACCTAATTTTTCATTGACTATATTTTAATTATCACATATAATCTCTGATTGAGAGGGACATTTGGTAACGTTACTACCATAAATGACACAAAAGCCACTGGAAATCGAAAAAAATAGCCCCCCAAAACTAACCTCAAATTTGGGTAACTAAACGGCTGCTCGCTGTTCCCTTGCCCCGCCCCACTCGCCCCCCATCTGGCCCACTGTCTGGGCATAAGGGTCGACCCCTCGGTTCAGTCAGTGGGGGTCAACCTATGGTAACTTGTTGCCGTCGTCGTGCCAATTTTGCTGATTTTTTGCGAGGCTGAAGCTCTGTATCTCTACAGGGCGGAAGCTTACCCAAATTAAAGCAAAAAAGCCTCAAGCTAGCATTATTGCTTTAGCTTACGGAAACTTAACTATTCAATTATACTTTTTGATACTTTTTGAATAGTGATACTCTATAGTATTAATAGAATTGAAGATACTTCTCCTTTACTATTGATAGTTTCCGAAGGCTATCTTAGCAAAAATTGAGCAGATATGAATTTCTAAAATTCACTTCTGAATTTAGAATTCAGAGGAAGTTAGAAAGTCGCAATACATGTTTCAAAAAGGTTAGGGGGGGGGACCTGCGGCAACAAAAGACGCCGTAGGCTGAACCGCCACCAAATCAGCCGAGGGGCTGCCCTTATGTCCTGACAGTGGGCCAGATGTTGGACGTGTGGGGCGGGGGGTCAGAGAGCATGCGAAGAACGCACAAAGACCAGCCCTTCTCCCCTACTCGCCACCCATCTGGCCCACTGTCTGGGCAGATAGTCCAAGCCAAATCTACCCAAATTGTCGGTCGTCCATCGCGGTGGCTCCGTACAGCCGACAAATGGGTTTCAGGGCTCCCCCTAATGCCTTGGAATTTAGAAAGCTTCGGCTTTCCCGGCGCTGCTCCACTGAACTGCTCGAAAACCTCGGTTTTCGGTGTATTCAGGAAAAGCGGACTTGGCTGGTATTTTACCATGCCAAAAGTCGGGGGGAAGGGCATTGCTGAGCCGACCTTCCCGCACAGCCTTGGCCTCTCGTCAAAAAAAGCATATTTCAAGTACTTTAATCAAACTTGCCCTGTTGCGGCCAGTCTCATTTGAATGTACTTTGATCACCACCGACTCGCCACCCCTCTGGACCACGGTGAAACTATACCTCGGAAAAAAACGCAGGGTTGGTGGTTGGGGAGGTCGGTGGACTTACTATTCAATTATTTTCAGATACTTTTTGAATAGTAGTATTCTATACTATTATTAGAATCGGATTAAAGATACTCCTCTTCTATTATTGATAGTCTTTAGGAGACTATATTATTCAAAATTGAGAATTTACTAATTTCTAAAATTCACTTCTGAATTTAGAATTCAGAGGAAAGTTAGAGAGTAGCAATTCGTGTTTCAAAATGTTAAAGCTCAGGATTAACCCGAAACTTTAATATTGAGTGGTCCCGCTTCTCCGAAGAGAATTGGTGACGTGACTCTGAGCATCAGAGGTTCAAAAGCTTCCGCTCCGCAAACGAGCAGAGCTTCAGCTAGGCAAGGATCCGCTTACCGGGAGAGGACAACCTTCGGGAACAAAAGATGCCGTCGGCTGAACCTCCACCAAAGCAACCGATGGGCTGCTCTTATGTCCTGACAGTGGGCCAGATGGTGGACGAGTGGGGCGGGGGGTCAGAGAGCATGCGTAGAACGCACAAAGTCCAGCCCTACTCGCCCCCCATCTGGCCCACCGTCTGGGCAGATAGTCCAGGCCAAATCTACCCGAATTGTCGGTCGTCCATCGCGGTGGCTCCGTACAGCCGACAAATGGGTTGCAGGGCTCCCCTTAATGCCTATAATAATTTTTGTTCATCTACGATCTACATATAAGTATAGTAATTCTATCATAAGGAATTCAAACTATCTCAAAATAATGGAATAGTAACGATGTTATTTTAAGTTAAAACACAATAATGTCCTCGGCCCGGAAGCCGCACCTCGAAAATTGGAAAACCCGCCAAAGCTCCAGCCAGGCTGTGTCGTCGGGCGCATTAATGGCCTGGCCCTCACAATGAGCAAAACTTGGGAAGAATTCCCCACCTTTTTGGGCCACACGCTCTTCGAGCAGTTTCAGAGCCTTCGAAGCTTTCCAAGCAGTTCAGATGCATCCGAAAGGCCATTGGAGCCGTCCAGATGATTCTGAAGCTTTTCAAGCTGTTCGAACGCAACCGAAGCCTTTCAAGCAGTTCAGGAAAAGCTGAGGCTTTTCCTTTTCAAGTGCAATGCTTGACTAGGCATTTTTGAACGGGTGCCTTGAACCCATAAATATGTTGGCTGTACGGGGCCACCGGGTCAGACGGAACGAGGCGTGAACCGAATGACAAATTGGGGTGGGGGGGGCGGGGGGTTGGGCTATCTGTCCAGACAGTGGGCCAGATGGGGGGCGAGTGGGGCGGCGACAAGGGAACAACGAGCGGCGGTTCAGTTACCCAAGTTTCAGGTTAGGTTGGTGGTGACGTGATCTTTTCGGTATCGTAGATTTTACATAGTATAGCATCGATGGTTTTTCCCGCTTTTTGTACCTGTGCCGTCTGGTTGACCCTGGTGTCGACACGGTAGCCGAGCTGCGTGAAGAGGTTGTGCAGGTTGGCGCAGTCGACGTCGGTGCCTGTAAGGGATTATCTGGTTTTATCTATCTAGTTTTATCTCTCGCTCTCTCTCACGTTCTCTCTTTCTGTCTCTCACACTCACTCTCGCTTCCTCTCGCTCTCCCCCCTCTCTCCCTCGCTTTCTCTCTCTCTCTCTCTCTCTATCTCTCCCACCTTTCCGCTCGGGCTGGTCCGAGAAGTTGCGATTGTTGATGATCATGGCCGCTCCCTTCGGGGCCGTGAAGTGCGCGTAGATCTGGAAAGGATCAATAATTTGCGATAAGTATCGACAAACAAATTATCTAAATTCCCAGTCAGTTTATAAACGCGAAAAGCCCGAAAAATAGATTTTCTTTAACATGCTCCCCCATTTTCTATTTTCTATTTTCAAATCTCAATAGTTTTAAAGTTTTTAAAGGCCAAAAGTGCGATTCCCCCCACTTTCGCGGCCCCTTAGAAATCGCAAAATATGTTTTTTTTTGAGAAAGATTCGATTTCTATTGCCGACCGGGGGAAGGACGTCAAGCTTTTGACAGGGTGAATTGAGATTCAGTGAATCAGGCCTATAGAAAAAATGTCTATAAAAGCGGTCAGCCCGGCCCCCAGAGAAAATTCGCTGCTCAAAAATGCGCCTGCTCGCTACCGTACTACTCGCATTTGCCATGCTGACCGTGGCCACGGCCTACTACGGATCGCTGGTGGGGGTTTTAAAGTTTTTTAAAGAGAGGGAGAGAGGTAGAGAGCGAGAGAGAGAGAGAAAGACGGTGAAGGAAAGAGAGTGAGGGAAAGTGAGGGAGATATAAACGTTTTCAGAGACCCTGCAAGCGAGACAGTGACTGCTGGCACTACGAGATGTGCAGCAGCTCCTTCGTCTGCGAGTTCAAATCAAAAGGCTAACCCAGCCCGCCGATAATACGCAATAAATTGTTTGAATCAATCGCTGTATTCTAGAAAAGACGACCACACGACCGCGTAATTAAGAAGCCTAAGCCCACGCCAAGTCTAAGCCTAAGCCTAATCCAAAACCTAAGCCTAAGCCTAAGCCTAAGCCTAAGCCTAAGCCTAAGCGAAGCCTAAGCCTAAGCCTAAGCCTAAGCGAAGCCCCAGCCTAAGCCTGAGCCTAGGCCTAAAGACGACCACACAACCGCGTAATTAAGAAGCCTAAGCCTAAGCCTAAGCCTAAGCCTAAGCCTAAGCGAAGCCTAAGCCTAAGCCTAATCCTAAGCGAAGCCCCAGCCTAAGCCTAAGCCTAAGCTTAAGCCTGAGCCTAGGCCTAAAGACGACCACACAACCGCGTAATTAAGAAGCCTAAGCCTAAACCTAAGCGAAGCCTAAGCCTAAGCCTAAGCCTAAGCCTAAGCCTAAGCGAAGCCTAAGCCTAAGCCTAAGCCTAAGCGAAGCCCCAGCCTAAGCCTAAGCCTAGGCCTAAAGACGACCACACAACCGCGTAATTAAGAAGCCTAAGCCTAAGCCTAAGCGAAGCCTAAGCCTAAGCCTAAGCCTAAGCCTAAGCCTAAGCGAAGCCTAAGCCTAAGCCTGAGCCTAGGCCTAAAGACGACCACACAACCGCGTAATTAAGAAGCCTAAGCCGAAGCCTAAGCCTAAGCCTAAGCCTAAGCGAAGCCTAAGCCTAAGCCTAATCCTAAGCGAAGCCCCAGCCTAAGCCTAAGCCTAAGCTTAAGCCTGAGCCTAGGCCTAAAGACGACCACACAACCGCGTAATTAAGAAGCCTAAGCCTAAACCTAAGCGAAGCCTAAGCCTAAGCCTAAGCCTAAGCCTAAGCCTAAGCGAAGCCTAAGCCTAAGCCTAAGCCTAAGCGAAGCCCCAGCCTAAGCCTGAGCCTAGGCCTAAAGACGACCACACAACCGCGTAATTAAGAAGCCTAAGCCCACGCCAAGTCTAAGCCTAAGCCTAATCCAAAACCTAAGCCTAAGCCTAAGCCTAAGCCTAAGCCTAAGCGAAGCCTACGCCTAAGCCTAAGCCTAAGCGAAGCCCCAGCCTAAGCCTGAGCCTAGGCCTAAAGACGACCACACAACCGCGTAATTAAGAAGCCTAAGCCTAAGCCTAAGCCTAAGCCTAAGCCTAAGCGAAGCCTAAGCCTAAGCCTAAGCCTAAGCCTAAGCCTAAGCGAAGCCTAAGCCTAAGCCTAAGCCTAAGCCTAAGCCTAAGCCTAAGCCCAAGCGAAGCCTAAGCGAAGCCTAAGCCTAAGCCTAAGCTAAGCCTAAGCCCAAGCGAAGCCTAAGCAGAAACCTAAGTCTAGGTCTAAGCCTAAGTCAAAGCTTAAGCCCGGCCAACCCCATTGACGCATTCATGCGAGGCCAAACAACCATTTTCGCGCAAAAACAAAACAGTGCTCTGCCGGAAACGCATCAGCTGATTCTCATCAAAATTCACTGCAGTTGAAAATTAAAAATTCATTTTAAAACTCCATATAAAACCCGTGTGAGCCGCCGGAAGACTCTCAAGTTTTCTGCTAAACCATGCGCCTGCTGGCTACCGTAATCATTGGCTTTGCCTGGCTGGCAGTGGCCATCGCCCAAATACCGGAAGTGGGTTGTCTTACTATTAAAAATACAACAAAATTTGACGAAAAAGTCTCAAAAAATTCAAGCCAGTATTTTTAAAAAGGAAATTTTGAATTGTTCACATTTTTTAGTGTATTTTCCAATCAAATCTAATCTTTACGAGGCTTTCCCGCCCTTTAAAAGGTTAGAAAAGTTCTTACACAACATTTTTCACCATCTTTCGATCAACTGTAATATTTTAGATACTTTCCGGACCTTTAATATGTCATAATTCAGGTACTTTTCGATGAAATTCCATGTTGTATATCTTGCATATCATTTCACTACTACATTTAAAATGACAGAAAGTTCCAATTTCCTAAGCCTAAGCCCAAGCCTATGCCTAAGCCTATGCCTATGCCTAAACCTAAACCTAAGCCTAAGCCTAAGCCTAAGCCTAAGCCTAAGCCTAAGCCTAAGCCTATGCCTCAGCCTATGCCTAAGCCTAACCTAATCCTAAGCCTAACCTTAAGCCCAAAGCCTAACCTTAAGCCTAAGCCTAAGCCGGGTCCTAAGCCTAACCTAAGCCTAACCTTAACATAAGCCTAAGCCGGATCCCACGAAACCTAACCTAAGCCTAACTAAGCCCAAGCCTAAGCTTAAGCCAAAACCGAGCCGAGATTCCAGATAGAGGATGGGGCGGGGCTTGCCAGAGGTCCCTCTCCCTTCAATACACTCAAAACTAAACTACACTTAATTAACATTTTTCGCAACTTTTTTTCAGAGAAGCTGCTCGCGGGACCGGGATTGCCGCTCGTATGAGTACTGCGCCAGCGGCGGCATCTGCGAATTCCCGTGAAGAAAACCGGAAATCCACCTTCCTATTTTCCCACACGTTTTTGGGGGCATAAATTTGTGAAGTCCGCGTTCCCGGAAAGCTCGTGAAAAATCGATAATAAATTCAGGATTTGAAAATTCGGTAACTCCCCGAATATCTTCATATTTCCGGAAAATTTGGCCCAGCCACATGAATAAAAAGCAGGGGGAATTATGCGGCGAGAGACAGGAAGGGCGCGAGAGAGAGCGAGAGAGAAGGAGAGAGAAACCTCGAAACCTAGAGAAAGAAGCCTATAAAATGCTAGAAACCGGGTTTGTGGAATTTTTGCACGATGATCCGCCGCCTCGCTCTCTGTATGTTATTGTGTGCCCTGGTCGGGTTGAGGTACGGTAGGTCCAAAGATATGAAAACTGGGTTCCCAAGTGATCGATGCTAGTTCGTCCTCCGCCGCAAATAAACGAAGAGAGAGCGCGAGAAAGAAAGAGAGAGAGAGAGAGCGAGATAAAGAGGGGGAGAGAGGGAGAGAGAGGGAGAGAGAGAGGGAGAGAGCGAGATAGAGAGAGGGGGAGAGCGAGAGAGAGAGAGAGAGGAGCGCGCAAACCCAAAAAAATCTCTGCTAGCTTGCCCGATTTTTTAGCCAAGCGAACGCCTGCCGTGAGGATTCGGACTGTCCGGACAACTGGACGTGTCTCATGGAAACATGCTATGAATTTGACCTAAGAGCCCCTGCGGGTGGAAAAGGCGGCTCGGGGACAAATGGTCGGCACCGAGCGCCGGTAATTCAATTCAAATTCAAAGTTTAAAAGTTCAAAATTGAAATTTTCTATCGCTGTCACGCTCCCTTTAAAAAACTGTGTAACCGGTATTCCTTAAAAACTTCAATTTCAGCAAGGATTTGGCTGCAAGTCGGATTCGGACTGTACGCTAGAGGGATATCAGTGCGATTCTGGCACGGGCTTCTGTGTCCTCTTCCCAAAATAATGTGAAATCGATACCGAATATAATAAAACGACTACTTCTAACCTAAAAAATGAATAAATAATACAAATGCATAAAGAACAAATTAATCATAAAGTTGAGTTTGGGCAAGCTAGCAGAGATTCCCTAGGAAAAGCTAAGCTCATCTCGGCAAGCTAGCGGCAATTCTGCAGGAAAATCGAATCCCGGGGCAGGCTAGCAGGGTTTCTCCACAAAATCAAGCTGTCAAAGCAAGCTAGCAGCGGTTATTTAGGAAAAATGAGAGGTGGGCAAGCTAGCAGAGATTCTTTGTGAAATATGGAAAAGCTAGCAGGTTTCCTTAAGAAAATCCCGAGCTCAGGGAAGCTAGGATAGATCATTTGGGGAAAAATGGAAGGCTGAGGTGAGCTAGCAGAGAGTCTTTTGGAAAATTAAGAGTTGGCATGCTAGCAGCAATTCTTTGGGAAGAATGTGAACTGGGCAAGCTAGCGTAGATTTTTAGGAAGCCAAAAATCAACAGCGGCTTAAAATTATACGCCAAATCAGGGGAGCGAAATATAAGAACGCGAGTTTCGCAAGTATCGACATTTTTCCGGGGAAAATGCGCCCAGCCTTCTTCCTCTGTCTTCTGCTTCTGGCTGTCGTCGTTTCAGGGTACGGTAAGAATGCCGGATTCCACAAGAAACCCTGCTAGATCGCCCCAGCAAAGGAAAAAGCAGAAATTCCGAAAAACCTCCCCTTCCCCGGCTAAATATCGCCCACCCCCCGCTAACAGTCAAGAACCAAAGATTCAGCCAAAAACGGCGCTGGTGCCACTCGTCGCGTGACTGCCTAGAGGGATTCGACTGCTTCCGGAATAAGTGCTCTGATTGGGATATCGGAAAGCGCCATCGCGGTCAGGTAAATTTTTGGTTTAAAGGGGCGGTGACACGAGGAAGAACGTCTTGAAAAACTTCAATTCTAATTTTAGCCGGAATGCAAAAATGAGGAAGACTGCGAGAGCGGCCAACACTGTTGGCATGGAAAATGCCAGTGGTGATGCTGAAAGATTGTAGAAAAGTTGAATAAATTATCATAACCAACTAACACGTATTAGAGAAAGAAACGCAGAGAGAGAGAGAGAGCGAGAGAGAGAGAGCGAGACAGAGAGAGATCGAGAGAGAGATATAGCGAGAGAGAGAGAGAGAGAGAGAGAGAGAGAGAGAGATAGCGAGATCGAGAGAGAGAGAGAGAGAGAGAGAGAGAGAGAGAGATAGCGAGGTCGAAAGAGTGCGAGAGAGAGAGAAGGCAGAGTTTTTTCAAAAGCCGAAATTCGCGCTCAAAATAGAACAAAATAGAATCAAGGCTTAAAATAAAAATAGAACGATTCAAATCCGCAAAAAAAATCAGGGCAAACTAGCAAAGATTCGTTAGGAATTCGGGCAGCTAGCAGAGACCATTTCGGACACTGTATGAACCAAAAACCAGATCAAAGACCAATGTCCGCTGGAAACTGAAAAAATACATAACCGAGCAGGCATTTTGTAAAACTTTTCGGGGCCTCAATTTCTTGGTAAATAAAACTCCTGGCTTTATCTAGATGTTCTACATTTTTTTCTCAAAAAAATGTTGCCCACATACTTATTTTGCGCGCTGATTTTTGGGCTGGCGATGGAGGGGTAGGTGTACGGTAACC